AAACAGAATAGAAGATCCCCGCACGAAAACCATGCCTAAAGCAAAGGGTGGCACTCTTATTATCTGCCCCATGGCTTTGCTAGGCCAGTGGAAGGTGATTCTCTTCCCTCATGACGTAAGATAATGAAAAGAATCATGTATAATATCCCTGCCTCTTTTCTAGTCTCTGATTACCAGATAGAATGTTTCGAACTATGGTGTCACAACATCTACGGAGAAAAATAGTTCCTTATAATAATTCAATTAATTGATAGATGCTTTGAATATTACATTGTAGAGATACTGTTATTCTTTTATGTCTTTTGTTCTACGTCTTAATAGGTCTTTTATGCCAGGATGAGCTTGAAACCCATTCAGAGCCAGGAAGCATTTCCATTTTTGTTCACTATGGCGGGTACAAAACAAATAACCCCAGGATTTTATCTGGATATGATGTGGTCTTGACAACATATGGTGTCCTAACTGAAGCTTACAAGCATGTAAGAACATACTTCTTTCATTTATTAATCAATTTCGTATGGATATCAGGAGGTTTAAATTATTAAGCTGTACTTTTACCAGTTATTTCATCTTTCTTTTAGTAATTGTTCTAGTAGTTTCTCTCCCAACTTCAAACTTCTTTTGATCTGATACAGGATATGGAGAATAGCATTTTTAATAGGGTTGAGTGGCATAGGGTGGTGCTAGATGAAGCTCATACCATCAAGTCCTGGAAGACCTTAGCCGCAAAGGCTACATTTGCATTGTTGTCATATTGCAAATGGTGTCTTACTGGGACACCTATTCAGGTCTGTTTTCTTATTAATTAATGCACATTTTTCTCTGAAATTGCTGATGCACAGAAGTACTATATGTTTTTCCTCTTGCTTTATGTTATCCTTTCTAAGTAGCTATTTTTGAGAAGAACTCTCTTTTTCAACAATTTATCGTGGTTTGGGTGTACTAGATATCGAGAAAGTGGATGCCCATTGCTTGAGCAATTAACAAATTCTCTCTTCATCTATTGTTACAGAACACCTTGGAAGATCTGTACAGCCTTCTGTGCTTCTTGCATGTTGAGCCTTGGTGCAACTGGCCATGGTAGGAATGCACGCTCATTGCCCCTTGCTGATTGGTGTAAAAAAATAATATGATTCTAACTTTCACCTAGACTGAACTTTAATCATTTACTCAGGCATTTATTCTGGGATTTGTTTCATGTCTTTGTCCATAATACAGTCTGACTTTGGAATAGGTGGAACAAATTAATTCAAAGACCGCATGAAAATGGAGACCCTAGAGCCATGAAGTTGATCAAGGCTATTTTGAGGCCGCTAATGTTGAGAAGGACCAAGGATACAAAGGATAAGGAGGGAAGGTGAGCACTTGGTCTTTCAACCTTTCTTCTTATTGTCATTATTATTTTTTACCGCAGCAAAAATCTTTTTCATCTTTCTGTTGTTTGATGCATTTGATTTAGGCCCATACTTGTTCTCCCTCCAACTGACATTCAAATAATCAAGTGTGAACAATCGGAAGCTGAACGTGATTTTTATGATGCCCTTTTTAGAAGATCAAAAGTAAGTGTTAGTTATTGTCACCTTCCATTTAGGATGAATTATATTGAATATATGATGGAAACAGAGTTCAACTGAGTGTTTTTTTTTTTTAATCTGAACAGGTCCAGTTTGAAGAGTTTGTTGCTCAGGGCAAGGTTCTGCACAACTATGCATCTGTCCTTGAGCTGCTACTACGACTGAGGCAGTGTTGCAACCACCCATTTCTTGTTATGAGGTGGGACTAGAATTGAAGATATTTTCCTTTATTTGTTAAAAAGAAAGCGAATTTTCTGTTTTTGTTTCTAAATTGTGAATGTGCAGTCGAGCTGATATCCAACGATATGAGGAATTGAACAAGTATGCAAGAAGGTTTGTGGAAACAAATTCTAATTCTTCCACTCCAAGGCAGTCAGCTGCCACCGAAGCATGCATTGAAGAGGTTGTTGAGGCCATCCGCCATGCTAGTTCTGCCACCATAAGGCAATCGGCACCTACTCCAGCATACATTGAAGAGGTTGTTGAGGGCATCCGGAGGGGTGAAAATACTGAGTGTCCCATATGCATGGAGTCTGCAGATGACCCCGTGCTCACACCATGTGTACATAGGATGTGCAGGGAATGTCTCATCTCTTGCTGGCAAACACCAATATCAGGGATATGCCCAATCTGTCGAACTTCACTGAATGCAAATGACCTGATAGCATGCCCAACAGAGGGTAAGTTCCAGGTTGATGTTGAGAATGACTGGAAGGAGTCTTCAAAGGTTTCCAAGCTTCTGGAATGCTTGGAACATATCCATAGGTCAGGCTTTGGTGAAAAGAGCATTGTTTTTAGCCAGTGGACTTCATTTTTGGATCTTTTAGAGATCCCACTGAAAAGGAGAGGAATTGGGTTCTTAAGGTTTGATGGAAAACTTGCACAGAAGCAGAGAGAGAGGACTTTGAAGGAGTTCAATGAAACCAGGGAAAAAATGGTAAGCAGTTTCAAGTGCCCGTGGTAGTTAATTACCTTCCGGAATTTGATGTCTTTGCAGTTCTCGATGGTTTAATAATTTTCTTAACCAATTATCGTATATCTCAGGTATTATTGATGTCTTTAAAAGCTGGTGGCGTAGGCCTGAATCTTACTGCAGCCTCAAATGTTTTCTTAATGGTACATTTTCATATCTTAATTTCTTTTCATAAAGGAAAGAGTTTCCCACCTCTTAAAAATCTGTTACTTTAAAATATGCAGGATCCATGGTGGAATCCTGCAGTCGAGGAGCAAGCAATAATGAGAATCCATCGGATAGGACAGAAGCGAACAGTTTTTGTTAGAAGATTCATTGTTGAGGTTAGATTATACTTTGGATTTTCTTTGGGTTCTCGTCAAATTTCTAGTTGGAATATGTGAAGATTTAGACCAGAAATGTGATTTAGTTTAATTTATATTTTGCCGGATTGATGAAGATACACTCATCTATAGTTTAGTTTAGGAACCAAAGTAATCTAGGCCAAGCATTATTCAGAACAAAAAAAAAAAGGGGAAAGGTGGGTGATCTGAACCTAGCTGAAGAGGATTAGGCTCAAGCCTTGGAACAGCCAAAAACAAAAATCTTAAGCTCCTGATAGAGGCACTTTTTGAATTGTTTCTCGAGGCCAACTGAGATTGTATTATTGGTCTGGAATGAACTGCAGTTACTATTACGAACTTGTGATGTTGTGACTGAGTGGTTCATTAACAAGTACCTTGAGAACTTTCGCAACCATTTAATTGAAGTAGCCAGGAGTTCGATTGGCAAAAAGGTCCATTAACGAGTATTATCAAAGTGTCATCTTGCCTGTGCTCATAAATTCTTGTCTTTTCCACTTTCTTAGCTGCTAATCAAATGTTTTGCCACCGACCAATGTGACAGAGCACAGTTGAGGAACGCCTGCAGCAAGTTCAGGCAAAGAAGCAGAGAATGATTGCTGGTGCTCTCACCGACGAGGAGGTCAGGTCCGCTAGGATTGAGGAACTCAAAATGCTCTTTAGATAAATTACAGCTTCTACGTTGTCATCATTAATTTAAAGCCATTCTGCATCAGAATATGTTGAAAACATATGCACTTAGGGTGTCTTCATGTATAGAGTCCTGTGAGGGCCCGTTTTTGTAAATTATGGCGTTTATGATCTATCCATCATTTCATAACCTCTCTCTACACCCAGGAACGCATGCATAATTGTGTTCTTCAATCTCAGAACGTTTTGCCAGCCTACAAATATATATATATATACAAGCTCATGCAGTATTGTACTGGTGGCTCCTAGAAGTTATCTTTTGTGATGTTTTTGCACTGCAAGGGCATGGGAAATAAAGCGAAGATTATGAAAATTAATTTATCCTCTCATAACACTGAAGTTCTTATTCCTGTATTTTATTTGAGAGCTTGATTTATGTCGTTTGTTATGGGATTAAAAATATTGCATGCTAATGACGGCCTCCTAACTCTCAAAACATTTGTTTTAATAAAGTAATCGTTGAATATCATTTTAATATATAA